GGGGGGGGGGGGGGGGGGGGGGGGGGGGGGGGGGGCGGACGAAGGAGAATCGCGCGCGTGTGTGTGTGTGTGTGTGTGTGTATGTGTGTGTGTATGCGTGCGAGGGTTACACCTTTGGCGTACGCGCGGCCGCAAAGACGCACCGACGGCGGCGTGGCGCACAGAACCGCCAACGCCACCGCCGCCAAGATCGAAACCAAAGTCCATCCCCGCGGCGGCCGTGTGGCGGTCCGTCTCCGGCACCGCCACCGGAACAGCTGCCCCGCCGCCGCCGAGACTAACGACGACGCAAACTCATTCCGCCGCCGCCCAAGTCCAACTTATCCGTCGCTGTAACCGCGCGCATGCGCTCACTAACGTGTATGTGTGCGTCTGTGTATGTAGGCGTGTGTGTGTGTGTGTGTGTGTGTATGTGTGCGTGTAGTCTAATTACTCTCGACGCCATTGTCTTTGTACCCGCCTTCTCGCGTTCGACCGCGTTCTGAACTATAGAGGATTTTAACCCTTTTTACCATACGGCACTGGCCGAAGGGATACTTTTGTTCCTCTTCGCCCTCGGCCGTTTCGTCCTTTTTTTTTTTTTTAATGAAATTTCCGGACCCCAACGACCCTCGGTCATTTTTCTCGGACTACACCGCTACCGCCGTGGCAGGACGCGTACAACGCCTCGCAAATGCCCTTCCGGAAAATACTTTGAATGTTTTCGGTTCAAAAGACACGCATCGCGAAATGTACGTTTTATTATTTATTTTTCTGATGTTCTTTTTTTACCCTTTCGAATTTTAAAGGGGTTTCGGTCGTTGCATTTCAGTCGTCGTCGCGTAATATTGCAGATATGCAGGTATTAGTCAAACGTATTTTAAAAGATGAACGCGTTTTATGCATTTACATCAAAGTTATGCTACTTATGCTGCATAATATAAGTAGTAAAATATCACTCTTTATCTCTATTTCAATCCGTTATCACTAATCGCAAACATCGTCCATCATATTTTCTAAACGCTTCATATACACTTTTAACAAAAATTGAAGTTGTTGGCATTAAATAGGTTGGTACATTCAAAGTTTCAAACAATGGAACCGCGAATAACTAAAAAATTATCCGTGTGAAAAAAAAATAGAAGGTACTACTAATTAATTACTTATTAGTATCCCATATTTTTTTTTGATTCCGCGTCATTTTGTCCGGTAAATAATATCCAATTGCAAATGATCCTCGACATTTGATCTGGTGAAAAAATATCCTGCATCAAAAATATATCCAGCTCAAATATGCCCAGCAAAAAAAAAAAATCCATCAGTATTTAAATTCAATTTAACATTTCAAAAGTAATATATTTTTAATTTTGTGCGGACAGTCCACTCGTACGTAATGTGTTCAACATGATGATAAGATTATAAAATCGGGCGAAAATACCACGAATAAACGTATCTAATCAATTTTCAACGATTTATCAAAAATAAATTATTGTTGTGACTGAGATAGTGCTATATAAGTAAATGATCATCCCCGAACAAACAGTGCTGTAGAAGGTTAGCACCATGATTTTAACGCATCTTTGGGATGTCACCATAACCATCATACATATGGCCATTTGAAAATGTACCTTTTTCAAGGAGAAGGGGCTACAAGAAGCGAAAATAGAAAAAATTATGGGTGGAAGAATCTACGAAAAAAGATAAAATATAAAGGCATATTGATATTTGTCGATAAATGATTTATCGACTTATTGATATAAGTGTTTAAAAGGTATTGCATTTTAATTTATAAATATTTGTATTTTATATTATTTTTTATTATTTACGATTTAGATTTTATTCTTGTGTTATTACCTACTAAAAGTTTTATAATTAAAAAAAAATATGTGTATAAACTAAAGATTAAAATCGTATTACTTTTAAAATTTTAAACATTAAATTAAATACTAATTGATATATATATTTTTTTTTATTTAACATTTGTGACCCGGATAATTTTGCACCAAATCAAATGTCGCGGGATATTATTTACCGAACCGAATGATGGGGAACCCTTATGTACATCTCTCTTCATTTTTCTGTCACCCATAACACTTTTAAGCTCGTTATTGGATGTACTAATACCGGTGTTTTCATTTATGTGCTTCATGGTAGGTGTAAATTTTTACCAAAATTGTTGTGGTTATTCCTTAAGTGTCCGATCCACGGTTTTCTTCTCAATTTCAGCGTATTCCAAATCGATAGATAGAATACATTATGCCATATGATATGGCTTATTAAATCTGAAGAAAAATATATAAAGTATATTATTATTTTTTGCCAGTCAAAAGGACAAATTTGTATTTTAACAAAAAATCAAATAATATATACAAATCGTAATGTTATGTTAAGTAGGGTTATAATAGGTTTTTATATTATGTACTGTAGCTATAATACTTTAGTTTTATTATTACTCGTTTACAGTGTACGCACACTTATATCAGTAACATTATTCTAAGTAATAGAGGTAATTATGGTAATCAAATCTTAGGTAATCTTATTTTTTATTTTCGCTAATTTCTGCAGGTATTTGTTTCCATAATTATAGGGTACAAAATATTAATGATATTATTTATAACCTCGTAAATAAATGCATGTATAAAATTATGCATTCGATTGTATCTTCAACAAGTGGTTAGTAAAAAAAACTGCATTCACTATTTGTATTATGTACTTGTATTTGTGAATTAGTCAATTTTTATACAACATATATCTACCTATATTACGTACGATAACTTTTTATATTTTTATTTACTACAAAACAAAATTGATATAAAATAATTAAAATATTTCACATTATTCTTTAAGCAGGTAATGACCCAAAAACTGTTAATAATAATAAATTATAGTGAAGTTGTTTAGGTGAAGTTAACGAGTTGTTCTCCCCTTTTATTTTAATTAGCTTTATTTATTTTTTCTTGAAAAATTACAATAGATAAATACTAAAGATTTAAGACTCGTATAATAGCACATTATAAACGGGAATAACTATCACATACGTTCTGCTGCTTTATATAATGTATACCCTATATATATTATGTATATAGTATTCTTCTTCTTGCACTCGATTTTCCACAAAGTTTTTGGGGTCAATTTCCGAACTTTCGATGGTCTGCCACATTACCCTCACCATACATCAACTGTCCTTATGCGTATCACTCTTAATTAATTCTATCAATCTTTTCACCCCTCTATTTCCTTCAGATACACGCAATTGGCATTCTTATACTGTCTCTTTTTCATTTCTCTTTATGCAACATGTTCAAATATCACAAACAATCTCAATCATTTTATTCTAACTTTAGCATCATACGTAGGCTTTCTAGTTTATACTAATTTCTCTGTATACCCAGGCCAAATTTATCTAAAAGGTGCCCCTAGGCTAATAAAAACAAGCCTCTACTACTTAGAACACAGACTCCTCCCCAATTTATTTACCAAAATAATGTATAATGAATGAATTTAAAAGTGTTTTAAAACAACTTAAAAAAATAGCCGATATTGGGGGTGGGTGTGGCCACTGTTGTAGGTTTCTAGTTGGGAAGGTGAGATACATAAAGTTATTTCTATCTGTAAGCAACGATAAACCATTGCTTCACGAAAGGCGATTCCGAGCGCAGTTCGATAATACATAATTTGAAGTGCCGTACATTTTTAAGATTTAAATTTGATTTCAAAACGCTTATTAAAAAAAAAATTCGTCCGATGATTTTAAAAACTTAGGTAAATTCAATATAAGTATTATTACCAAGTTTCAAGTCTCTACGTGTATTTATAACTGAATTATAACAAAAAAACTCCTAAAAATTAAAATTCCTGAAAGGTCAAAAGGGGCTCAAAAGTTTTGGCAATAATATCGCAATAAATTAAATTAAAAAGTCAACAAAAAAGGTGAATGGTGATTTTTCGATCAAATAATTTTTCTGGTAGAAAACATCGTCCTTGCTCTTTAATATAATGAAATCGATTATTCCGTTAATTCTGGGCTAATTTTTTAAATTGTGCAACAGTGAACAACTAATTTACAAAAAATATTATTTTTGTATTTTTTTTTTTCTATTACTTATGGTATATATATTATAGTAAATTTAATTCGTAGATTGGATTGGAATAATATCTATAAAAAAAATCAAGAGTCCTGCCCGCTACAACACCGCCTGAAGTCGTAGCGACCCTAATCTTTTTCCTAATATCCCTAAAATGTTCCAATAAATTATAGCTCTCCGTAATTTTTACCCAAGTTTTATACACATAATCTATGTAGGTTAGTAGAAGGGCTATAATTTGTTGGAAAGTATTTTGTCGAAAATGGAATTTTTCGAAACGTATTTTGTCGGAACTTGGGTGAAAATTACGTGAAATGTATACCACCGGAGGCAAGCTCACAGGGTGAGG